ATGGTTTGTCTAACACAGGAAGACTCCTAGTCATGAAACATTACAAATGGTCACCTTTGCATTAGTTAAAGATGTGTTGACACCCCACTCTTGTATGCATAAATAAATAAACCTTTAAGAAAAAAAACAGATGTGCAGAGGGGAACCTGAAAGTGCTGCTGGACCCTCGGAAGTGGCAGTCGTGATGTTAAATAACTTCAGCTGGCATAAATTCAAATGTAGGTGAGCACTGACTGGCAATTGGTAGAAACCTTTTTTTTTTTTACAAAGAATATTTTCTTTATTCTTTCTTTTTAAAAGTTGTATTATTTTTATTGAGGTAGCACTGGCTTACAATGCTGTATATCATTCAGGGGTATGGGTTCACACCTCTTCAGTTGTCAGTAACCACATCACACCTACCACCTAGGTACAAGGGGTCCTCCACCAGAGTCCATTGTGGCCCCTCCCCACTTTGCTCCCAGCCCCCCACTCTCCTCCTCTGGTAGGCTCAATTCTACCATTGGATTTCTAAAGTCTGTTTTAGTTTAGTTTTGTCTGTTCCTTTGTTTGGCAAGATTTCCTCTTTTTTATAGCTGAGTAGTATTCCACTCTGTCATTGGACACTTAAGTCAAGAAATATTATTTTAGGGTTCTTATGGTATTTTTTATTCCCTTAATTCATTAATCCCCCTCAAGAGAATTAGCCCATGAAAATAATTCAAAAAAGAGAAAAACTTCTGAATGTATAAAACATTTATAGGCATGTTATTCACAAACTTGAAACACTAGCTATGATGTGAACTTAGAAGACTTTCAGACAAGACATGTGTCACTGTCTTGTTACACTGGGAAGTCATTAAATTAATAAATTTTCATGCCTATGTAGAAACATGACTATTTTTAAAATGAAAAGTGAATACAGCTGAAAATAAAATTGCAACTAATAAGATTATAATATATATTCAAACTGTACTTAAAAGGATAGAAATGAGCAAGGAGTAAGAAGAAATAAGAATGGATTTTGTTGAAGTAATACAATTTGAATTTAAATTTGATTTTATACTATTTTAAAGTATATTCAATAATAATCTTTTTCACATCAATGATTGTCCCAGACCATACCTTAAGATGCAAAAACTTGCATTAAATGCCACTGCTCTTGAAAACTTGTTTAAAATCTATTTATAGACATACACAGTAAAAAAGATTTCTACATAAATAAAACATGTAATTTATTATTTTATTTTGGCATTTCACATGACAGGGTACAAGGTGATATCATGAGAAAAGACCCCCCCTGGGAGCTAGCAGACCAGAGCCCCAGCCCTGTCTCCCCAAATTCACTGAAGACCAGGCAGAGGATTTGGTGACACGCCAGTTCTCAGGTTCCCAACCAGAACAGAAGGGGTGAAAGATCAGCCCAAAATTTCTGTCTGGTTTTGGTTTTTGGTTTTCTATTTGTTTGCTTGTTTGTTTTTTATCTTTGATACTAGTATAATAAAAGCATGAATCTATGTATCTGTTGCCTAATTCAAGACTGACTTGAAAAATAAGAAAATGTTCAGGTCATGGTATGCGATTGGCTCTAGCCAATAAAAAAGAAATGCCTGGTAAGGAAACAAAGAGGCTTAATACTACATGTATTTATTATTCGGCACCTTCTTGCTGTAGGTGTGGTGAGCAACTTGCAAAGCTGCTGTGTAGTGCTTATATTCTAAAAGGAGGGGTAGAGACAATACACAAAATAAATAAAATATTTGATTGGTCACATGACCATCAGCACTATGGAGAAAAATTTATCCAAGTGGGACAAAGTAAGTTTAGAGGGAAGGCGGGGAATTTCAAATCTGGTGCTCAGAGAAGGCCTCTGTGAAAAGAGACAGTTGAGTAAAGAAGTGAGGAAGCAGCTCCGAAACATCCTGGGATTCCCGTTGGGTGGGAAAGCATTTGGGGATTTGAGCACACGGCTCACGTGATTGACTTGCATTTTAGGGGCTCGCCATGGCCGCAGTGGTCAGGGTAGACTGGAGTAGGACAGAGAGGACACCAGGAGACATGTGGGAAGTAACCCAGGCAGCACATGTGGCAGTAACCCAGGCCGAAGGGAAACGGGAGAGGCGGGGAGAAGTGGCTGCATTGGGTAACTTCCATTGGAAGGAAGAGGTTGCAAGAGGTTTGCTCGAGAACTGGATGCACGGTAGAAGAAAAAAAGGGGAATGAAGGCTACCTTCACGGCTTTAGGCCTGAGAGGTTAAGAGTGGGGACATAGCAAGTTAGGGGTCAAAGAAGACCAGGAGGCTGATTGGGGTGAGCTTGAATGCCTTTTAGATACCTGAGTGGAGAGTTCAAGGAGGCAATTGAGTATACAAGCTTAGAGTTAGAAGTGAGGGTCTAAGCTAGCTTATAAATTTGAGACTCGGGCCTCCCCTGGTGGCGCAGCGGTTGAGCACTGGATTGCGAGGCTGTCCGCAGTCTCTGCAGCGCCAGTTCAATCCCCGGCCACCAGCGAGGGTCCCACAATAAATAAATAAATAAATAAATAAATAAATAAATAAATAAATTTGAGAATTATCAGCATATAAATAAGTTAAATGCTACTGTAAACCTTGAGATGGACAAGGTCACTAAGAGAGTTTAGACAGAAAAGCAATCGAAAAACTAAAGAGAAATCAAACGCGAAGAATTTGAGGAGTGGACACAATCAGCCAGGGAGCTGAGGAGTGCCCTGAAAGGTGTAAGGCAGGGGAAACCAGGAGAATGTAGTTGAAGCCAAGTGAGAACAGCATTTCAGAGAGGAGGGATTGCTTCTGGAATATCAGCTGGTGGTTGGATCTGTGCGTGCAGATTTTCTATGACAAGGGAAGATGTCATACATGTATATATAAAAACACAAACTAGATTGAAGACTGGTTATTATCACACCTCATGAGGAGAACATATTTGTGTACATATGAGTATTAATACATTACGTTCCAAATAGAAATCACTTTTTGGAATATCTAATATTTCTTATTTCCCACACCTGTCCCCAACCCATCATCACAAATGATTCTTCTTAATTGCTGTTTGTGGTTGTTTTTCCTTCCCATAGACAATTTATCAAGACTAAAGTGATTGCAAATGGGAATTATCATAACTCTCATTTGCTAAACTGGACACTAAAAACTACTTCTACCGATGTTAAATGTTAGATCTATAATGGATTATAGATCCATAATATTCTGAGAACTTGTGGCACAAAATATTCATCATGAGAACATATCGACGACATTTTCTTATTTCAGCCACCTTCTCTCGCCAATCTTGCCTAAGAAATCTGGCTTCTTATCCTTTTTTTTTTTTTTTTTGAATTTTTTATTTTTTAATTTAAATTTTATTTTCTTATCCTTTTAAAGCTAAAGTGTTTCATTAAATGATCTTTCCTGATAACTGATTTAAGAGAAGGAGAGAAAACAGATAAAACTCATTGATAGTCTGGGATATAGACATCCAGTCTCCACTCCTTTTAACTTTTACTGGCCATCAGGCAGCCAGTCTAATAAGGCTACAAAGAAAAGTAAACAGAAGCGGAAAGCAAAATAAATAGCAGTCTTTACCCCCGTGGAATTAGCCATAAATTTAAAAATGCAGTCTTGGCTATGTTGTGAAAGGATTTTCTTGATCTGTTTGCATAGCTGTATTTTATTCCATTCTGAACGAATCTGGACTTTTTTTTAGAGAATCCTATTATACACTAATCTCACCCTAAAAATCTTTTGCAAAACATTTCTCTAACAAAATGTGCTTTATAGTCATCATGCAGTTTCCTTGTGATTACCAAATCTATAGGCTCTAATCTACAGGCAATTCCAGTATAGAACTAGGGAGCATAATTCCTAGGAGCTGTGTTTTTCTGATATACCCTGTGTAGATGACCTGAGACATAACACTAAATAGTGATAAGAGCTCATCTTGGAGGATATGGGTAGCTTGGAGATTGCTTAGTTTTCCTGACTAATCTTCCACAGTAAGTCACAAGTCCTGCAAACCCACAAACACCTGTCTTCAATGCTTTCGTCCGTTTTACGGCCGCCTTCTGGCACTAATGAAAGCTCTAAAGAGAATGTTTACTTTCCATTACAACAGCAACAAAAACTTCAAGAATGAAGCCACAAAAAATACCATTTCGCGTCACAGATCCCTTCATAATAGTAAGTCTAGGACCGGTTAACACCAGACCCTCAAAGAACATAGTTTCTGAAATCAAACCTTTCTTAGATTTAACATTCAAATGTGATTATGATCACAAAATATTAAAAGATGTAAATAAGTAAAAAAAATGTAAGCACAATTTCTTAGCAATTGTTTTTGGATAGAAATAATTGTTCAGTTACTTTAATACCTTATGACTTCTATATGAGTAATTCTTTTCCATTGGATTATAAATCCAAACGATTAGGAACCAAGGTGTCTTTAACTCAGTTTTATATACTCTAGCACAAGACCATAATGAGAAAGGCATAGTCATTCTTTAACATTTACCAGAAATATTATTTACTTACTAAAACTGCCGTATGTTACAAGCCCACAGTGATCGTATTTTGTAGAGGGTGAAAATGATGGCGTATCAATGGCCAGTATTCACATGAGGATCTCTCGATCCATTTCAAACATAAGTATTTTTCAGACTATGTAAAGAAAAATAACCTATTAACAGAGCAAGTAGCAGTAGCTTTTCTAGATCCCTCTCATCATCCACTTTTATTCCAGTTCAAAAACCAGGGGCTGACCTTCCAGATGCTGCCACATTCTAAATTCTCACAAGATTTTGCTAGACACCCAATATCTCAGGCCTACAAGATAATTCATGTCCAAATAGAACTCTTAATAGCTCCACTTGTTTTTTACACTAGGACTTTTGGAAAGTTCCTAAAAAGCCAGTAGCTTGTCACTGGCCAGGAGAAGGAACTTTCCAGTATTTCTAATTTTCATTTAATTGAAATGAACTTTAAATTTCCTTTTTTTTTTTTTTTTTCCAGGTATAGAGCAGTAGCCTCCTGGAGTCGTGTTCAGGGAATCGGGATCCCCTTGATCACTGCCATTGAAATCGTCTCCATCTGGATCCTGTCCTTCATCCTGGCCATCCCTGAAGCCATCGGCTTCGTCATGGTGCCCTTTGAATACAGGGGTGAACAGCACAAGACCTGTATGCTCAATGCCACGTCGAAATTCATGGAGGTACAGGAGTTCAAAGGGCACGAACAGGGCGGGGAGGAGGTCTTCATTAGTGCTTTGCCATGACCCAGACCTATAGCTGTTACAGGGCAAACCCCGATATAAAATGGGGTTGCCTGACTGTGGGTCCTCACCCGCGTGCTTTAAGGGGACTTATGAATGCTAAACTGCAGACATACACAAAAGCTTGATAAAAAGTTTATTTACAAGGGAAGGGGAAATGGGAAATGAATATCTCAGAGAGAAGAAAAGGGAGATAAGTTGGTAAATGCGTCCTACCCGTTCCGCTGACCTGGAATCCCAATGACCCGCCGAGTTGGCAAAAACCTAGCATACCTTGTGGCCAAACCAGCGACCCCCTGGCCACATGGCCAGTTAAATACCCAAACTGAGAGCCCAGTTGCTTAACTCCACCCTCAGATCCTCCCAACCTTCCCTTTGGGGATCATGGGGTTGTATGGAGTTTGCTTGTATGGAGTTTGCTCAGGACATACTTTCCCCCTATCATTGCTATCTCTACAAAATAGAACATCTATTTTTTTTCCCAATTCTTATATTACAACATAACTAGAGATACAGCTGCTGATATGCACAGAAATTCATAATTCTGAAACAATTGAGACAGAGATGACATATATGCATATAGTGATATTTGTTTTTATAATAAATACAGCACGATAATTGCCATCTGACAGACATGATGATCATTATTTTAAGTTACTTGGGGAAATGAACATTGTTTATACTTTTTTTTAATTCAAAGGAAGTTATACACAAATGTACTTATATTAGTATGGGTTCTGTTCACTGAAAATGAAGTCTCAACAATAGTTAGACAAAGACTTTAAAAAAAAAAAAGAGTTTACTCTTGATAGTTAATCAAAATGAGGATTGGAACCTGGATAGCAGTCCAACCAATTTTACTCTGTGAGCTGTTCCAATAACACAAGTTTGAATTTAGTTTACATAGGTAGGAACAGTGAGTCACTGACATTAATAATGTTTTATTCTTAAAAGGAGGAGCTTCTGATTCTAAGCTGTCCCTAAAGATATGCTGATGCTAGAAGGGGACAGTGAAGGATTTAATTTTATTCCTTGCTGATAAATGCTTTGCAGAGATGCAAAGGCTGAGTACCCATTGTTAAATCATTTTTTATTTTTAATCTGAAAAAGCTGACTCTACCTTCAGGCAACAGATTCCTGCATGTAGGATGGAGACTGTGAAGATGTCTTTGCTTTTTTTTTTTGGTGGGGGGGCAGCTGTAGAGGGTGAGATCCCCAGGATACTCCAGCTATAATCTACAAATAACATAAATTTGCAGAACTTTTTTAGTAAGTGTTTTAGTTGACAAATTCAGTTGCTTAATACACCCGACCTGATTCATTTTCTCTGAAAATCTTAATCAAATGGCTGAGTGTATTGGAAACATATTTAAAATGCATATTTCTTCGCAAAACTAGTCACATGTGGACTAAGGGGGGGAAGCAAAAGGATAACTATTTCTCTTAAATCAGCATAATTTAGTGCTTTGATTAAGTTTCATGCCGCTCAGATTGCAGCTTTAATCATTTACAGACATCACAAGGTATGTTTTCAGAACTTGGAAAATTCACAAAATTAGTGGTTTTACAGTTGACCAGTTATCCAGCTTGGGAATTCTTGTTTTAAAATTTAAAATGCTCATAAAAACTGCCAAATGGGCAGCCTTAAAATCAAAGCCTGTACTTATCTACTGTTTTTTTAAATTAAGTCAATCTCCAAAGTGAAAAACAAAGTAGACAGTGAAAGGTTATCAGATTTGGGGCCTTGTGAATAAGCAATATAGATATCCTTACTAAAACATTAGAGAGAAGAGGTCCAAATTAAAGAGGTGCTTACTCACCATCTGAGCTGGACAATGTAAAGCAAGTTGGGTGTCAGCGCCTGAGTCTCCTCTCTAGAGTGGACAGGCCCAGGGCCACCGCCCTCAGCAGAGTACCTACAGGGGCACCGGAAACAGCCTGAGTGCGAACTGATAATTTGAGATTTTGTTCCAATTCTACAGTTTCAGCAATCTCCTTCTCCTCCAGTGCTTTCTTTCTTATTTCCTCTCCCCTCGTGGTCCACACTTTGCTCCTCAACTTTGCTCTAACCTAGATGGAGGTGAGGTTCCCTCCATACCCTTGCTGGTGACATCATTGAAAAGAAATGTGCTACCCTTTCCCTGCAGGCAACTGTCAAATAGGGGGCATGGGGCTCCATCATGTCCCCTAGGCGGGTCAACTTCCAGACCCTCTGCAGCTGCTTCTGAGCCTCAGCACAAAAGGCCAGCGTGGATTGAGGGGCAGCGAGGGGGCAACAGGGAGGATATTCCAAAAACCACTTGTGTCCTACTTAAAGAAAAACAAAAACAAGAGTCCATCTTAATTTTTGTTTAATTCAGGACTGAACCTTTCTACACCCTGATGGGGAAATTTTTGTGTGAACAGATCTGAACAAACCACCCCCTTTGGGAGTTTACATTTAACCTGAAGACAGAATTCAGGGGACCATGAACTTGGATGGGGAAAATAAATTACTTCTTTGCACTAACTTCTAACTGAAATGTATCATTTCCTTCCATTATGAAATAGGCCACCAGTTACTGTACCATTTAATGGTCCCCCGCTTTTTTTTTCACTAATTGAAAGAGCAGACATTTTCATGCACGTGTTTCATACATTTTCATAGAGGTGTATAAACTCCAAATGCTGATAGTATTTACACTCACCATTGCTTCATCGTTCTGGTAGTTATTACAGCTCTCGGATTTGCCATTTCACTTGTTAATAAGCACATCTTACTATATTATAATTTTATTAATATTTTGGTAGCTGTGTTTTGAAATAATCTTATCTATTTTACTTTATATACACAAAAAAGAATTATCCCCAGAAGGGATTATAGTCTTCCCCAGTCTTCCAAAGGGACGCATGGCATAAAAATAGCTAAGGACCCCTGCCCAGAACTTCTGCCCTCAGGAACCATTTATAGACTATTTTAATAGACATTTGTAGATGGAGCCCACTGGCCTCCTTCTATATTCAGAAACTGAGCAGCAAGATTATTTTTTACTGTGGGAACTGAGATATCACAAGAGGCTGCATTATCCTTCATAAATAAACAAGCCGGAGAAACAGAACAAGGAAAGGGAAAGCATTTCTTCCCAACTTGGTGATTTTGTGGGAGGAAGAATTTAGAAACAAGTTCCAGTTTCCCTTTTTATAGGGTATTTACTTCACTCCTTTAAAAAAGATACAAAAGTGAATAATCCTAGTATTTGGGGCTCCTGCCCACAAGGAGATAAAGTTAAATGCGCCTTCAGATAAGATACTTGCAAGGCTGGTTTCCAGGTGGAAAGTATTAAAGGGCAGCGAGAAGGGCAGGGCTGTGGTCGGGGTGCAGCTGCTGGCGTGGGTCACATAGCAGGCTTAACCAGCTGGAGGTTCACGCGTCACCCGAGCCAGTGAGCCAGTCCCAGCCTTGGCTGTTCCCAAGCAACATGTTCGCCTCGGTACTTTAACCACAACAGTCAACAGCAAGCCAGCCAAATTTCTGAGACTCATCAGTAAATATATATCCTGCATGTCTCAAAAAAAAAAAAAATACACAATTTATGAATGTTGGAAGGGAATTCTTTTTATTGATTAGGGTTTTTCTGCTGTGTAATAAAAAGCAACTTCAGTTTATAAGAAAAGGCTTTATCAGGATAATTCTTTTTCTTGTTGATTGAGGTCACATTCTTTACATTGTTATCTGTGTATTACAAGTTTAGGATCCCACCCCCGCCACCACCACCACCACAGGTTGTTACCACACTGCACCCATCACCCAGACACCCATAGTCCACCACCCTCTGTGTGCCCTCCCCACCTTGCTCTCTCCCTCATCCTGCCCCTCCCCCTCTGGTAGCCTCCGTTCTACGATCAATTTTCTAAGGTTAATTCTAGTTTGACTTTATCTGGCCCCTTGTGTAATTGACACCAAATCAAGATCATTTTTTAATACCGCCTCTTCGTGTGCCATTAAAGCCAGGAGAATTTCTGGACTGTCCAGTTTCATGGAGTTTTGAGCACTGCCCCCCAAGCCCGTTACCACAGCTGGTGAGTGTGGACTTGCAAGCGTGGCACGAAGCATGAAGGCTTTCAGCTCCCCGAGACACCACACGGCTCTCGCACTTCCTAAGGCCTCTCCTTTTCTCCCTCTTTGCTTCCCCCTAAGTTCTACCAAGATGTGAAGGACTGGTGGCTCTTCGGGTTCTACTTCTGCATGCCGCTGGTGTGCACCGCCATCTTCTACACCCTCATGACTTGTGAGATGCTCAACAGAAGGAACGGCAGCCTGAGAATCGCCCTCAGTGAGCACCTTAAGCAGGTAAACCTAATCAGATCCTGCACGTCTGCTGGAGACTGCTTTGCCCTTAGCCTGGCCTCCTGAAAACAAAAACACAGCCTCCTAGCTATTTTCTTTATAGGTGCAGCAGGACGAATTCCACCTGTGAAATAGGGAGCCCGCCCCCGTGAAACAGGTGGCCCTGGAGGCCACACCCAAATGGAACTATTCATTTCTTTTGCCAACAGAATATTGAACATATGTGTTTGTGTGTCTGTACACTGAGCTGGGCTTGGTGTGTGACAAGACAGAGAAGAGTAAGACTTTCTGCCCCAGCAGATGCAGCAGGCTGCTCGTGAAAATAAAACGCATGCGTGGAATCATTGGAAAACAGAACCACGGGAGGAGAAGGTAGTCTATGCCATAGAAAGCCAAGGAGCATATAAGATAAAGTCCTGGAGAAATGTTCTCCCATCTTCATGGGAGATGAGTGGGTTGGATGGGGGAACAGGACGGAGGCATTTTAGGGGGGAGGACAGGAGTCTAGACTACAGAATGGGGTCAATGCATTAGGGAATCGGAAAAGGCAAAGAACCTCATTACAGCAACGGCTAAGATGAGCCTCATCAAAGGAAATGAAATTGTGTATATAGTAAGTCCAATTTTGGAGGCCCAAAGTTCTGGAAGGAATTTGAACATGTCAGTAGGAAACTGCTGTTGGTTCTCCCCAGGCAACAAACAGAGCATGATGCTTATACCTGCTGGCTCTGTGACACTGGGCAAATGGCTTGATGTCTCTGAGTTTCCAGTTCCTCATAAAAGGTATATAATAATACATCAAGGGGATTGCCTAATGCATGTAAGAACCCAACTCAGAAGATGCTCAGAAAATGTTGATCTATATTAAGTCAAAGAGTAAAACTAGTAGTGCAGGTAAGTGCTCTGTCTCAACAGACGACACCCAACCACACCAAAAGTGGCTGATGGAGTCTGTAAATCCACCCTATGTAATTACCACACAAGCAGCAGCAACTCTTTTCAGCCACCATAGTGAGTTTTCTGAGCTTCAACTCCTTATTTGTAAATTGGGCATAATAATAGATGAATCAATGTCATTATGGAAATCAAAGGAATTATTGTGTCTACACGTACACTGTAAAGTCTACCCAGTTATACCCATGGTGGCTATTAGCTTTTATTGAAATTTAACAGGAACATTATACTGAGGGTGACTTTGTTCAGGCCTGACAATTTCAAGTACTCCAGTTGTAAGACATATTAAGTAATTTTTACCTCTCATTCCTGTCATGCAGGAAATTCACTAGGACAGATTAGTGGGAAACAGTCTTTTTCAATGTTGATTTTTGCATTAGCACCACGAGTGAGCCCACTGGGTCTCCGAGTGAAGCTACCGGAAAGGATCTGGACAGGGACTGGGGCAAAAACAACACGATTTACACAGCATTTTCGAATTTTTGAAGAATTTTAAATTTGTCTCCACCACCTGGAGACTGGAACGCAAGACCTGAGCCTCACTCAGCAGTCACTCCCTTGCCTCACGCTCACGGCAGCTACAGGCTCTAACAGCAGAAAAGCAACCAGACTGGACAGCCCTGGGGGGGTGGGGAGCTGTGGGCGTGTTGGCCCAGAGAGGAAAGCCCCACTCCTGCCCCTCTGACTAATAGCCTAGAGGATTCTTGCCCTTGCTTCTTGCGTGCTTTTTTTTCAAACTGCTCTTCATTATACTGACAGCTTTTATTTCTCGGTGATTATGTTTGGATGCTGGTAGCAGAAAACCCAAAATAACATTGAGTAGACCATGTAGGGGTTCATCTTTCTCCCACGGCAACAAGTCCAGATGTTACTGAGGCACTCACAGGCCCCAGCTCTGTTGTTTTGTTGAGCTGTGCTGGGTGTTCGAAGACAGCAGCCGCAGCTGTCCACTCATGCTGCTTTCTGGCAACAAAAGGGGAAGGAGCAAAGCTCACACTCGTGTGGATGCACCCAAAGATCATCCCCTACTTTTAAGTTGCATTTCCAGAAATCACACATGGCAAATTTCTACTTCCCCTGGTTGGTTAAAACTGTATCGACTGGCCATGCAGTCTCATCTGATGCCATCACAGAATCTAGGAGCTTATTAATAGTCGGGAAAATGGAAGAATAAATACTAGCTAAGCAAATATCAGATTTTCATGGCATGGCATTATTATTACTGTTAAGAAGGGTTATTCTTTTTGAGGATGTGCTAAGGGGAGATAACCTTTCTCCCAATACCTCCTTTTCTGCCTTTTGGGGCACACTGTCTTTCTGTATGCAGAAAATGACCCTTTAAAATGAACTCGCAGTTTATGCTAAGCAAAATAAATCAGGAGAAAGACAAATACCAGATGTGTAATATAAAGAAACAAAACAAAGGAACAGACAAGACTAAACCAAAACAAACCCTAGGAATCTGCCCACAGAAGTGAGGCTGCCAGAGGGCAAGGGATAGGATGGAGAGAGAAGTGAGGAGGTGCCAATGGACCATGATGCGGGACTGTGTGTGCTTTAGTGATGGGTGCAGGGTGGTAACATGCAGCTGAGGCGGTAAGAACCTGCACCCCTACACCATATGTGGTATTGCAAACCAGGATTACCTCCACTGAAAGTGATCTAATGTAAAATAAAGATAAAAGAAGGCCCCCTCCTTTCTGCAGATAGAAATCCTTCCTTTATCTCCCTCCATCATCATCCAGCTTATGTATCCTCTGAAGTCATATCCCAACAGAGCCAGTAACTCTGAAAGATTAAAGAACTCCCAGTTCTTTGGACCTGAGTAGCAATATATGACAACTGTCCTGAATTCTTTTCCAATGGCTCTATTAATCATGCATCTGTATTGTAGGGTTCCCACACATGATGCTATGTGCTTTACCCTTCCAAACCCTGTTTTCAATCAGTTTTATTTTGACGTTAACTGATTCCAGTTACAGACAAGTTGCATTTTACTTCCTAGTTAGGCTTCCAAGTGCACGCATGGTGACATCGAACACTACGCACACACGGGACTGGCTGCAGACCTTTCCTAACCTATGGTTTTTCTGATTCTGTGCAGACTCAAAAGCATGGAAACCTTCCTTGGAAGTCAGTCAAGGGTCAGCATGTCCCAGTTTTTCTAATCACCATTGCTGATAATCCTTTACTCACATCCCTGTTTGCAAGCGGTATATCTTTGCAAATGGCATGTCAATAACAAAAGAATGTTAAAAGCAAAAACATCTCAATGCTAGCTTTCTTTAAAATTGCAAATGGAGGAACATACTGACTTGCTTTGTCTTTTCTTTTTCCTACTGCTGTTCTTGTGCAGATTTCTTGCAGCTTTGTCCAGTCTCTATCATGCTAGGTTTGGTCACCTGACTGCCCTGACATTCCCCATGCTAGGTAGTTACCTATTACGGAGACTTTTAGCTCATCCTTTCACACATACATTCCACAACTCACGCAGACTCAGCCACAGAGTTGACTCAATGCCACCAGTGCTCAACTCTGTCCAGCCACTGAAACTGTCCTAACCTCAATAACCATCTGTTCTAGTAGCTGCCACCGTCATTTCACCATGTATACAATATTGAACCTTTATGTCATGCACCTGAAACTATGTCAGTTACACCTCAAAAACAAAAAATCCCTAGCAACTCCTTAGTTAGAAAGTTGGACTCCAAATCTTGAAGGGATGGAGGCCTTGAGAGCAGACTGTTCTGGCTTCATCGAGTTCTGCCTCAGCTAACGTTTCCTTCTGAGGTAACCCTTCCATCTGGTAGCAAAGCCCTAAACTTACTAAACTTACTGTACTTTTTTCTTCTTTCTTTTTAGCGACGAGAAGTGGCAAAAACGGTTTTCTGCTTGGTTGTCATTTTTGCTCTTTGCTGGTTCCCTCTACATTTAAGCCGTATTTTGAAGAAAACCGTGTATGATGAGACGGACAAGAACCGGTGTGAATTACTTAGGTACGATCCTGTGCACCCATCAAAAAAAATGGAGTTTCAGGCCCCCCCCTGGTGGCGCAGCAGTTGAGCGCTGGGCTGCGAAGCTGCCTGCAGCCTCTGCGGCGCCAGTTCGATCCCCGGCCACCGGGCGAGGGTCCCACATGGCACGCAGACCTCTCCTGCTGCCCGCTGCTCCCCTCAGCAGTGTATTTCTTCGTCAGTCTGTCTGTTCTGTACGCCGCTCAGGCTCTGGTGAATTCTCTCACCCTCCCACGCTTCTGACTGTACCCGGTGCTTGTATAAATAAATAACTAAATCAAAAAAAAAAAAAAAAAGTTAGGTGATCATCATGTTTAAAAAAAAAAAAAAGAGTTTCTTTGATTTTCACACGTACAGTCCTTTTACCAAGCCAGCTAGTCTACCTTCTCATCAGCCCTGAAAATTAAAACTGCAAGCTTTATTATTTTTCTTTAGCTGACATTGCTCACCACCAATCCTGTAATCTGGCCGCTCACCTCCTGAGGCTGTGCGTTACAGTTAGACCTGACCGAGTGGCAGACATATCTGTAAATGTTCTTCAGAACCGCAACTGCCATTTATTTAAAGAAGCACCTTAGAGAAATAAATCTGACTGCCATCTATGAGAAATAGCTCCTGGGCAAGAAAAATGCTTACTCTAGGGAGAAATGCTAGTTAGCATATTTTAAAACCTGATATTCTAATGATCCTACTCTGTTTCTTTTGTTCTAGTTTCCTGCTGCTCATGGATTACATCGGTATTAACTTGGCCACCATGAATTCGTGTATAAACCCAATAGCTCTGTATTTTGTGAGCAAGAAATTTAAAAATTGTTTCCAGGTAGGACTGTTTTACAAGTATTTTTTAAAGAGCACCAAATAAGTATATTAAGTAGCCTGGTTATAAATATTCTTTTTGTAAATATTTATAAATATTCTTTCTTCAGCTGTATTTGTCAATAAAGAAATGAAATCCTATTTTGATACCCAGAAAAAGGTCAGATTGTCAGCATAGCAGAAAAGCAATACCTACTCAGAAAACAACATATTCAGAGGTTGAAATAAAAAGAACTAAATAACAGACCCTTTTAGTTATGTCTTAAAAAGAAATGTTCCAATGTGAGGTCCGGGCCCCAAAGGATACATACAGTCTAGTCTTGCCTCACATTGTCTTTAGACTTAACCAGGGCCCCAGCCTAACATGAACAGTCAGTGTTGCTGTGAAATCTCTTGCTTAATGCTATTTAATCGCATATTTAATAAGAGACTCATCAAGAAAGGCAAGTGCTCTTGCTCTGGAAATCTGAACTAATATAACTTCATTTGAAGTCAGTTTCCTTCTGTCCCCCGAACCTCTTTGCAGCTAAGCTAACACACATCCTCCAGAAGCCCCAAGCTCTTCTTCTTGATCTGTCATTTTCCACTTCTCAGAACCATTTTAGTAGAGGGTTAATCCTCCCTGGATTCTGTTATCTTTGACCAGGATGTTTAAGTTTACCGCCCTGGGAGCCAGCGGTCCTGCTTTACACCCCAGCTCTGCACTTGCTAACTGCCAAGCCCAGTCTGGTGTGGTTCCTCCCACTTCCTCAGTTTGCTCGTCTGCAAAATCAGATAATAAGAGTAGCTGTCTCACTAGTAGGATTCAGCAGGTTAATACAGGATAGAGCTTGAAATAAGCTCCTAGTACAAATTCATTTTCGAAGTCCACTTAATATTTACAAATCAATAAATGCTCTGCCTTAAGTAAGACTGCCTGACATACAGCCATTATTAACATTATAGAAGCTGGGCTTGACATCATTGGCTGATTAATTTACTTATTGATAAGACGGGGAGGGAAAATCAAGGTACAAACTCTCAAAAACTAAATGCATATATCGACAGCTCTTTTATGAAGGCGGCATGCCCAGGGGCAAAAGCCCTGAGTTCGACTTCCAGTTCTGCCCCTTGCTTTCCGCTCTGGGCCTCTCTGTCCTGGCTACTGAGGTGGGAAATGACCCCTGCCCCCCGGGCTGTTGTGAATATCGGAAGAGGCACACACAGTGGCATGCCCAGAAGGAACAATAAACTCCAGCCCTCCTCCACCTGTGCCCTCCAGATTATACTCTCCCTCCACTGTCACTGCTTCTATCCTCTCTACTTAGCGAATACATTAAAATGAGAAACGAGGGGTGGATTTCCCTGCACTAGAAGGACAGTTTAACTGCAGGCTCCACCTCTGGATTGCGGGTGTGTGTGCACCTGTACCCCGGGAACCCCACCCGCCACTGTGGCTGGGAGTGGGTCAGTAGGCTCGCGTGCTCACAGTCTGTTCTTCCTGCCAGTCTTGCCTCTGCTGCTGCTGCTACCAGTCCAAGAGCCTGATGACCTCAGTCCCCATGAACGGAACAAGCATCCAGTGGAAGAACCACGAGCAGAACAACCACAACACCGAGAGGAGCAGCCACAAGGACAGCATCAACTGAACAGCCTCGGGGAGCCGAAGCCCGTACTCCTTCCAGCCCCGCTGGAGAAAACAGTCACACAGCAACGGTGGCGCCAGAAATGTCTTCACGCAGCCTCTCCCCCATCACTCTGACCCCAGGACAATTGTGTTCCAAAACGTCGGTGGGCGGACTGGGCTTGCTTCTTGAACTGGCCTGGTTGCACACTCTACGTGTTCCATTTAGCACTAAAAAAATGGTGGGAGTCGTGGGAAGGAGACTGTTAAATGAAACAAAAGGGTATTTACAACTTTTGCATGAAAATTGCATGTCAAGTACATGACCAGCTTTCCTGGCAGTTCTGTCCAATGTCCCTGGACTCCTGGTCACTACGCAAGGTCAGAGATTGTGACCAGGTTTTCTATGTTGTTAAGTGATTTATTTTTTGGTCACGAATTGAGATGAAGTCACCTTTAATTGAAACGTCACTCAGTGCCAATGTTTTTAAATTGCATAGTAGCCTTAAAATGACTGAGGTTATTTATGTATATTTTGCCAAAAAAAAAGTAGAACAGTATTCAGATTAATGTTCCTCATGCCATTTTACTTTTAAAATGTACATTTTTAAGCTGCAACAAATATAAGCACTTAAAGAACAGATTGATAACCACATCTGGCAGTTTAGTAGCTGCTCTGTAAAGAATTTTCCAGAACCTATATTTTCTTTTTTTAGGTTTTTTTTCATTACAGATGATGAAAATGTTTTGATGTTAAATTTAAAAATAATGCTTGAACCAAACAGTTCTGTTTTTCACAGGCCCACTCTTGTTAATGTAACTTTTTAATTTAATATCAATATCATGTACCAAGATTTAAATTTATGTGTCATTTAACTATGCCTGAGACTTTCAGTCTCTGCAATGCATAGAAGTCTAAAGCAAGCCTAGGAGAAAAGCATTGAATGATTTTAGAAGATTTGAAAAAAATTCAGTTTTTTTTGACAGTAGTAGCATGTACCTATATGCATATTTTTATTTCCCTAAGCATGTATATATGTATACATGCATATTTGTGTAGATACATGTGTGTACTGTGTATATGCATGTGCATATATACATTATACTTATCACCTCATCCTCTTGATTTCTTCGAAAGTGTTAACTAGCAGTAAGACTTTTTCAGTCATTCCCTTTACCATATAGGAAATTTCAAAGTGTCCAGCTGAGTGTATTTACCCCCTAAATGATGCCCCCATGGATTTATGATGGTTCATTTCTCTGGAGTTCCAGTACGAACATAACCCCCCACCCAACCTCACATGGTCACCATTTCAAAGGGCCCACAGCTCCTTCTGTTGGGCATTTTCCAAGATGTTTACAGACTGTGAGTAGAGCAGAAAAAGATCTTTTACTGTGTGTATATAAATATAAACAATTGTACATTTCTTTTTGCTGATTTTCCTGTGCTGGTCTCTATGGAATGCATCTGTGTGCATGATGTGTGCATATGTGTGCTGGTATGTGTGGACTTAGTATAATCTAACAATAATGCCCTAGATTTGTGCCAAAGCACATGCTCTGAGTGGCATCTAGGTGGTTGGTCACAACAACCTGCCTCTGTGGTTTGCATCTGACTGTGTTCATAATTTGTGACTATGTGACCTTCACAAGTGGAATGTGGGAGGCAGCATGAAAGGAGAAGTCATGGTGAATGGTGGGGGTCACTGGTGGATGAATAAAGCAGTATTTGGGGTTGTATTTTTTTGTGCTGGAGCAGAAGTCATAAACGTTGAAGTATTATATTGTCCCAGTGCTCAACTCAACATGCTGATGAAATGATTTGTTGGGCCATATTTTAGCACAGTCAAGTGTGAAATGATTTGAGGTCCAGTTGCCCCAATTGTAGGGCTAAGAAATACTGCTCCTTTCTGCGCTAGCAGTCAACTTCCATTACTCCACTGTGCCTCATATGCAGTGATAGATGCTATTAAAAAAAAAATGGCTCACACCATTTTGTTTAGACAGCTGTCTCTTTTTTTTTTAAGATGCTTTGTTTCTTGCATATAAAAAAATGCCTTTTATAGGCTCAGAAAGTCATAGGTTTCTGAATAACCACACAGGCTTCAACATGCATTTTGTTTATGGACCAGAAAAGTAACCGTGTTTACCAGTTGGAATGTTGCCAATTTCTACCTTTTTCACATCTTTTCATTTCCATCTGTAGAAATGAGCCAAAGGCCAAGACCATATGTTGGCGGTGGCCCATAGCATAAAATAAAAGTTTACAGAAGCCTTCAAGCATCTCTTCATTTGTACATAGTTCTTCATAGAAAATGTTTGTTATAAAATGCCCATTGCAGACCTTGTCCCAATAATACTAGGTAGGAAATTTTACTTTCATAATAATACTTTCAATAAAATTTTATTTTCAATAATACTAGGTAGGAATTTTTACTCTATTCTCAACCTACTTCATTGTACTGAACACTTAACGCTCATCCATTCTTTCATTCACCTTTCCAGTGAAATTTACAGGGCATCTACTGTGTCTGAGCCGTTCTTTAAGGTGCTGGGGATATAAGTGAACAAAACAAGCAAAGTCCCTGCTCTCACGGAACTTGCATTCTAGAAGGTGGCTTTGGACAACCATGAACACTCTGCCAGGAGGAAAACTAGAGGAAGAGACTCCTGTATCCAACTGCTGATTTGACATCCCCGAGTGGAGGGCTACATTCAAAACAAAAGACAATATCCTCCTCACATGAGCTGCCCTGTTGTTTCTCTGCTCACATATTAGTCTCCAGAGAAGATAGAACCAAAGCGCTCACGTAGATGTGAGAGATTTGTTATGCCAGCTGCCTCCTGCAGTGATGGAGACTGACATATGCCCTGATCTCACCTGCAAGCTGGGAAACCAGGATAGCCATGGCATGATTCGGCCTTCAGAATGTTTCCAGAAGCCCCTCTATCTCTCCACTTCTGCCTTGCTTTTCTGAGCCACCACCATCTCCTGCCAGGATAACTGCAATACTATGCCTGTTTGGTTGCAGCTTTGTGAACAAACACTCTAAATTGGTGCCCCTCTCTCAAACCCTCTCCCATTCCCAAGCTAGGCTGCCAACATCCTCTGGAGAGTTTTCCAGAACTAAAGAAAGAAAGAGCCCTCTCCCACTGTGGCAAGCCTGGGAGGCTGGGGTACTGGGGCTGCTGGCCCCTATAGTTACAGCGTTACAGAGAAAGTCAATGAAGAATGTCACAAAGATGAAGAGGAGCAGCTAAGTGCCCGGCTGCTGTCTTCCCCAATGCTCGCCATAGCCTGAGGAAGCAGCCAACACATTCCCTTCGGTGTCTGTGCCAGCTAAATGTGGTTTTCTGTTGCTTACAATGCACACATTTTAAAACCATCTCATCTAAGTTATTTTGACTTACCTGTTGCTGTTGTTACTTAAATGAACAGGCTTTCTGGTTTTTTAGAGCATTCTCAGGTTGACAGAAAAATTGGAAAGTGCAGGGTTCCCACATGCCCTATCACCCTCTTGTCCCAGGTACACAGGTCCCCCTATTGTTTCCGTGATGCATTAGCGTGGTGTGTCTGTGGCAGCTGATGAGCCAGGATGAACATTAAGGAAAGTCCAGTACTGGTTAGCTCTCACTCTTCGGGGTGGACACAGCTACAGTGACAGTCACCCACGGGGTATGCAACACCCCGTGCTTTTAAAAACCCCGTGCTCCACTTTTCCTTCCCTTGATTTGTCTTTTCACACCACCATGGTGAACAGCCACCGTATGACGCAGCGCTGCTTGCAGGGGGCATGAAGCAGATGTAGAAATAAAGAACTGCAGCGAGTTCTTCGGGGGTCCAAGCAGAAATGCACAGCTTGTCATAGGGAGCCCCCTGGCATAGGGATAAAGGGGTACAGCAGCCAGTGCTCATCTAAAATGTAAAGAAATCCTTTATATGGTAGCAGTGAAGCGCTTCGTGAGGACTCAGCAGCCATCAGCTTAGGGAGGGTAAAGGCATAAAGGCAGGACAAGCCTTGCAACTTCAGTTGCTGCTGAATGGACTAATAATAAGAACTATCACATTGTTGGGCCTCCCTGGTGGCTCAGGGGTTAAGTCTCAGCACTATCAAGCTATCACCAGCCACTGCAGTATGAGTTTGATCCCGAGCCACATGGTGCAGCAACCTCTCCTGTCTCACCCGCTGCTCCCCTCAGCAGTCTGCTGCTCTGCTCCCCACTCTGTCTCTGGTGAATCCTCCCCGCATCTCTGGCTTAGACCCCAGCTCTTGTATGCATAAATAAAAAATAAATACACAAATCCTTAAGTAATAAAAAAAAAATCACATTGTCTCTACATTATAAGCTTTTGTAAGAACAGAAGTTTTCTCCATCCAAAAATAAATCTATTGAGTTAATTTTCAATTATTAAGGTAATGAAATAACTGGAGATTAAATCCAGGAAAATGTCGAAATAGGAAGTTTTCACCTGTCCATTAGCTCTATTGCCATTTTCAACCCTATTCTTCATCCAATCTAGCACAAAACACCACCTATGTGTGCAAGGAAGAAACTTTCAGTCTCCTCAAGTCTCTCCAAGCCTGAAATTCTGAGTGTGCACCTGGTATTGTCACATCATCTAGTATAGCACTGCACGTGCTGATTTTTCTCCATTTTCGGTCAAGAAAAGTTAAATCAGGATACAAGGCCACCATATGCACTTGACTTTCTGAACTTCATGAGGGGGGTGAGGGGAGGGGAGACTTTACATGGAAAAACCCAGTGGGTTTTCTGAATAATCCTACATTCGGGGAAGCTTCTCTCACATTTTCCTCTAAGTGGCACAACGACAAGCCAGTGTCTATATTTGGTCAGTGCTCACGGTCTTTGACTTTTTGTTTCTGAATCCGAAAGTCTCTGAAAATAAGACTGGCCACAATTCCCAGAATCAGGGAATCTGAAGGGCTGAAAGCAGCCTTGTCACCACCAAGCCAGGCGCACCCAGGACAGTTCATTCTGATGTGGTGAATGGCTTGCCCAGCTTTTAGCATCAATATTTTTCAGTAGATTCTGTCTCTCTTCCTGGGAGGTAAGAAATTCACAACAGCAATGCCAAGCCCAGTGAGAACCAGAAGAGGCAGGGAATCTTCCTCAGGGAGTAGAGAGAATACCACAAATTTTTGCCTTTTGGTCCTAAACCACAGCCCCCCTATCTAATGTATCTATGTGGAACTGATCCTATCCTATTGCAATTTGATTCTATGACAGTAGGTACAATGTGTACCTGGAGGCAGATCTGTCTCAGGCCTCCAGGGAGGAATGGGTCACAACGCACTACGTAGTAGCACATCATCAGCCAAATCACAGGCCCCAGCTCCTATCAGGCATAGCCTGACTCACTCCATTTATTGCAGTTTTTGCAGAATAAAACTATTTTCTCTTTACTCCAAAGTGTGACAATTGGGATATTAAGACATAATATTTAGGTCTTCAAAATACCCTGCAATCAGAAAATCTACAAAATGTAACCAGGTGAAGGCAACATATGGCCCTTTCAGACCTACATTTGTGCATAATGGAAAATTGATACCCTATGTCCAGTCTTTTCTCTGTTATGAAAACTAGTGAGGTAAGTCTTAACTCATTGCTCCTCCCAGTCAAGGGGGAAGGAATTCTGCCTTCCAGTATAGGCTACGCAGGGTCAATCCTGTAGCAGGCGTGGGGGATCCAGTGACTTCTCAAAGGAAAACCCATGTGGACACAGACAAAGCAATCTTGAGAGAGAAGAACAAAGGTGGAAACATCATGTGCACTGATTTCAAACTATATTACAAAACAACAGTAACCAAAACAGTATGGTACTAGCATAAAATCGGACATATAGATCAATGAAACAGAATAGAACCCAGAAATAAACCCAGGCATATATGGTCAAGCAGCTTATGACAAAGAAAGACAGTATCTTTCACTAAAGCCTGGGCCTGCTTCTGAAACCTCTCCTCCACACTCCACTCATAAAGTACCCTTACCACTTACCTAATAAATGAGTCAGATATTCTCAAGTCTAATATATGCTGCCTATAATCCAAACAGGTTCATTACTGCTCTTCCTTTTGTGTATGTGTTAGGCATGTGGTGTATGCATGTGTGTGTTTGTGTGTGTAGAAAGTTCAAAGACCAATAACTTTCCTTTACCTTAAAAAGACTATCCCTGTATAGGTCAAACCATTACATTTCTGAAAACTTTATAAAGATGAAAAAAACCTTAATTGCTATGGCACTCATGCATCTTGCCAGGGTATCCAGAGTACTTTAATTTTCTATGCATCATCGCTTCTCAGCCTTTTGGCTAAGATCAAGTGTAATTTTCTATGCATCAACCTAATTAACATGACCAACATCTATAAAGTGACTACTATGATGTTCCATGGAATATCAAGATGATCAAGGTCCCTCTCTACCTAACTATGACAGCCAGAAGGACTGACACAGCCTTGCAGCTAGGAATATGTATTACCATTCTTATATGAATGCTCTGTGTTCTGACCCTCTTTCCAGGTGGGAAAAAAACACATCTGTCAGATCAGTAGCCATGAGCCAAGTGCCAGAGGCTGAACCGGGACCTGCAATCTTATGCTTTAGTAAGATACTGCTTTGGAGGGGCTGCCATTTTGCCGAGCTTACAGAAGTTCAGCATCACACATCTTGACCTATCTATTTTTTCCAGGGTTGATAGCAGTGAACTGAACGAGGATGTGATGCAGACCACCCTTTCTGCATTCTTCCTTTAAGTATTTGAAATGGCATGAATTTCTGCAACTCCACCCAGGATGCAGCATTCTTTCTGACTTACTGTCTTTTCTGGGAGAAACAATTTCAGGAATGATACAATTTCAAAATTCCAGAAGCCAAGAGGTTGCTCTCAACCAATTAGCCCTTCCTATCATCATGATTCTTATGTCACAGGTCATGCTTACTCCACTGAGCATTCTTTAATCACAAGAGGACTGGGGAAATGATTATAGGTTGGCTCCATGGGATCACTAGACCCATGGGTTTGGGTCAGAACTCTATCTAATGCCCAGACACCATATGTCTCCATGGGACAGTAGGACCATGAGGAGTTTTCAGATTCCTTGATAATGTGTCAGTTCAGACCTTATAACAACAGCTATCAAAAGCCTTCCTCTTTTTATTACTGTTCACTGACTCTATTAAACAGTCATGGTTCCCTTTGAGATCAAATTGGTAAACTATCATATATATTTGCAGTGTCATTAAAGGGGTCATATCACACCTGTAAAATTGATGGGCTCATGTATGAGAATTGGATCTGGAGACTGGACAAGAGATTGAATTTTCCACTATGACAGTTGGTATCAGAACCCCTTTCAGGGGCTCTCATTTTTTTCCTG